TTATTCATTTGAAGTTGGGTCTTTATCCAATTTTTGCGGGAAATTTAAAATTATCATTTAAAATTGGTATGTTTTGTGTATCTTTTTGTTTTGCATGAATAATAGGAATAATTGTTATTATAATTATTTCCAAATAGATTAAGGTTATGACTTTGATATTTTGTGAAAGTAGTCAGAATAGAAAACAGTGACAATGGGATAAATTGCTAATGACTAGTTTCACTTTGTATAAGAATGTAGTGAGGTTAGAAAATTGTGTCGAAGTTTGTTACTTTTTTTTTTATTTAGATCTGAAACATATGGAGAAAATACAAATACTCTTTACACAAAGATCATAAATGTTAGATCTGAAACATATAGAGATAATACAAATACTCTTTACACAAAAATTAAAGAAGTAAAATATAAGAAAGTTGTATATTTATACTATTATTTATCAATTTAATGTGAAATAATACGAAGTATGTTATGTATATACAGAGTATATGGCAGATTTATACATGTTTAACCTTTGAACACTATTAATTTGTAAGTGAAGTCTATACCTTACTTTTGAAAATAATGAGTAAAAATAAAAAATCAACAAAAAAATGTAGTGTACAAGAAAATTGTAAAACTAATAACATACAAGAAGGTAATTAATGTTATTTTTGTAAGTACAATCAATTAACTTTTAATAATGATGTAAATTGTGTGTTTTAGATTCATTTAGTAAAAATATGAAAGTTGATATAGGAAATGATTCTCCTCAACATTCTTCTGATTTACGCATTTCTGGTTATAGTACACCTATTCGAAAAAGAGATTATGTATATGATGTAGAAGATTCTCCTGAATTAGATTATAGATGTAGTCCTGTTTCAATGCTTTGTACTCAGGATGGTGGTAATGAAATTGCTTGGGATTGGCAGACATCTGGTAATAAAAGTTCTTATGATAAATCAAAGACACCAAACAGTCATATTGAGACACCCAAGAGAACCAAACAATTACAAAAGAAACGAAACCCAGATTCTCCTTTATTGCAAAAGCCACTTAAGAGGAAACAGGTAAAAATGGAAAATATAGAAAATATTGGAAAGCTGACGGCAGAATTAAGAGCTTTAAGTGAAAAGATGAAAACTATACAACAAAATTGTAATAACAAAGTTGAAAATGAAGCTGATATAAAAGTTGAAAATGAAGATGATACAAAATTTGAAAGTAAATTAATAATAGAATTGGATAGTGATGGTAGCGAAGATATAGTAGTGGACTGTGTTGTTGAAAGTAATAAACTAAAATTAGATTCTGCTTCTATTAATAATTATAAAAAAAAACCTACAAGTTATGAAGATTTATTTGATGATTCAATTGATGATTCAATGGTAAAATGTAGTCAAGAAATTGAGAAAAAATTGAACTTATGTAAAGATAAAAAAAATGACACACTGGAATTGTCTGAAGAAAAAAAAGAATTGTCTCCATCTAAGAAGGAGACTCAATATTTGACCATATCTGATACGTCTACTGAATGTTCTAAAAGTTCTAAATCTTGCTTAACTAATACAAATGGTCATTTAAAAACATATTCAAATAATTTGAATAGAACAAATGTTTCAGTCTGTAATTCCAAGCTTACTAAGTGTAATGTTATAAATGTATCACACGGAAAGCAAACGTTGCAAGATAAAATGACGTCAGATTTTCTAGATGATTCTTTTGACGACTGTTTGGCAACTTGTGTAGAAGATGATAAATTATTGTCTAAACTATCAGAATATGATTTTAGTCCTTCAAAGTCATATTCTAATGTAAATAATTCTAAAAAGTCATTGAAACTTATTTCTGATCCAATAATTAATAGAAACATACCAAATAATTCTCTTTCGAAACTAGTAACTCCTGATGAAATGTTTATTATAGATGATTTAGAAGAAGAAATTGAGGTTATAACTGACAAAAAGACAATACAAAAATCTTTTCCTAGTCAGAATTCCTTAGAAAATAGAAAATTCTTTAAAACCAAATGTTTATCAGATCAATGTTTTTATCAATATAAAAATACCAATAAAAATAGTAAGACCAATACATCAAAATTTGGTTCAAATTTGGTTACTTCAACAGTAAGTACTACATTTCCAAAAGATCAGAATCCATATAAAAGTAATAATGTTCCATCGATTAATGGGGTGGGAAATACACATAAACTTAACAGATTAGATGGAAAGGAAGGCGGTAATGGTATTGTTAAACACAAATCTGCTAGCAATTTGTCTAGCATAAAAGAATCTCAATCTGCACGGTGCAGTCCAGAAGAAATAGAAAGAAAACGACTAGAAGCAAAGATGAGACTCGAAGCAAAGCGAAAATTACAACAAACAAATACAAGGTCAACTGATATTGTGTCAGAAAGTTCAGAGAGAAAGTCTGTGAAAAGATAATAGCTCCTTTAATTACACCAGTCATTGAAACTACCTGTCACTATGTTGTAATATCAATCATTTTATTTGCAACAATTGTGCTTATTGTTTATTAATCATTTTCATGGTTCCAACTGTGTCAAAATATGTACTACTTAATAAAAAAATTCTATTTTAATATAAAACATTCTCAGTTTTAAATATTGTTTAATCATGTTAATAATTTTAAATTATTCTTAAATAATACGTTAAAATACTAGAAATATGTAAATATATTTGATTATGATACGTATTGTAATATGTATTAATTTAAAGTAGGTTTAAAAATTCGGAATAAATATTGAATAATTTCGAATCAAATTTCTTTATAAAAGTATTTTTATTCATTATTGCATAGTGTTATTGTATCGTTTAATTTATTTGAGTATGTATTATTTAGAAATAAAATCTATTACTATTGAAGTTCCAAAAATTTTAATGTGCCGAAAATTATTAAGATGTTCAAGTAAGCTATTACTTTCAGGAGATAAAAAATTTAGAACTATCTACGATCATATTCAAGGTATTTAGAAAACCGCGCGAAATGAGGTATGTTCAAAAGTAATAGCGTTAAGGTGATTATCGAAAGAGCCAAATGAACATCCATAAACAATTACGAACAATATTAACGATTTATATAAGTTTATCATAAGAAAGAATAATAATATATTGCGTAAATATTTCAGGGCAACTGTTATCGCGCATGTTTAAGGAACGAGCGCCATTACTCGTACGTACTATTCAATCGATACGCCATGTGACGTCAAACTTGAGCGTATCGCGTCATTTTCATTTCACGTACGTGAAACGAATTTATGACTTGTAGTGCATTTTTCCTTAAAATACGCGCAAATTTCCACGTGTCGAGTACTTAAATATTCGAATACGTGATATGCGATTTATCTTATACGTTTAATTTTCGCGGGTGTCCGTCGGTAATTACCGTTACACCTGCCCGACGAATCAGGAGTTGCGTTGCCGCGTAACTTGTTTCTGATTGGCCGAGTGGTTCAACAGAGAAGCAGCAGCAAGCCAGTCGACCGACGACGGGCATGGGGAAAGCACGTGTTATTTGTATCGTTGCGCACGTCTCGACAAGCTCATACGTCGACTCGTGCGATTCTACCACCACCCCTACCGAGATTCTCGCCACTAGCGTCGCTACTACCACCGAGAGAAAGGTATTGGCTTCTCCTACCGTGGAGGTGGTTGACAGCTCGAAAATCGCAGTACCATCGCGTACATCGAGTACAGTGCCCGCGAATGCGAAATACACTAGCGTACATCGCCGGCCTGTCACGATGTTACTCGCGGTGATCGCGCTCCTCTGCGCCGGTAGTAGTGCCGAGGTGTTCACTAACACGTTCCTCGTGAAGATGAGGCAGCCCGCAGAGAGACACGTCGCCGATCGCGTGGCTGCTAGGAACGGATTTGTCAACCTTGGACCGGTAAGTTTCTCACTTTCTTTATTGTAGAAGCAATTACAATAATATCGTCACAGTAATATTACGAAAAAGACAAAAGAAGCTTGCTGACTGTACTCGAATATATAAATACACGAGATGATTCTTTTAATCGAGTATCTATTTTGGTTATTATAAATTTATCGTGTAATGACTTGCACGAGATTCTGCG